GCTCCCTGTATAAATCATAATGAAAAGGAGTCAGAGCTCGAGTGTATGCATTTGATTATACACTCTGTACTAGTGCAGAATAAAAGTACTTTATGTTAAGGTGATTATTTGATAATTCTATACTATGAAATTAAACATGGATATTTTAATTCTAATTTCTCCTCTTGTACATATTATTCCCCGAAGCTGAAAGTGATAAAAAATGTCACCGATAGCATCATGCTACTCTATATACTCTAAATATTTGAATGAAAAAAATCTAAGAAAAACAATGATAAACTATTTTTCTAAAAGTTAGCTTCTTTTAAAAGCTTCGATATAGATTACTTCTGTGATCCCTACATTTATTATCAGTTAGGCATAGCATATTGATTTATAAGTGTGAATCATGGATATGTCAATACCGAGTGAATTAGACTGGTCTAGGAATTTTTACATTTAGCTTTAAGTGCTTGGCAGAGTGCTCTTTGGGGCAGCTTTGCCATTGAATATCAGTAAAACAGAGATTATTTGAATGCAGCTGGATAGTGTCAGTTCAGTTGGGTACAGTTTAATCAATTTCTCTGTAAACATATGACCTTGTTTTTCTTACTCAGATGTGCTGTGCTGTAGGTTTTCTCTGTTTTTCCCAATTATTTTCAGACTGTATTCTTGTATGATTTCTCAATGTTTCACGAGTTTTTTTCTACCAATGCCAAACGTTTTTTTTTCCCATTGTACAGTTAAGACAAACACACTACACTTTAGACAGGTATAAAATAATAAAAAAATGTATTCAGTCTGTTACCTATCTATGTGAGTGCTTTAATGTAGAGTGATGACATACTGATTTTTTATGTTGTTGGTCTTTTAACCTTATATGTTGATGGGAGCAATTAAAATATTTTTATATTAAAATGTATAGAATTTAATTTAAGAGTTGGAATAAACTTACACTCTCGTGGCAAGCTTACTTCTAAAATATATCCCATTTTGTATTTGTATATAGTTGTAGAAAACTGCTCAGAGGCTGGAGGCGTTCCAGACATTTATTAAGCATTATTTTCTTTTATTGACAATGAATTTGTATCACTAACAGACAGCATTTTCAACTAGCAATTGAGTAGCTAATGCAAAGGACCACTTGTATTTGGCACATAATTTATGTAGGTCTGTCTGTGCCTATCCAATAGTCTTGCCTTTAATTACATAATATCAATAATGAGGATGAAAGGTTGCATTCAGGAAGATGGTGATTTTATATTCACAGAAAGTTGTCGACAGAATATTAGATATATGCGATAGGGCAATAAAAAAGAAGACAGATATAATTTTTCAATTTAAACATTTGTCAACTGCCAATACCAACACTGATGGTAAAAGATGAACTAAAGAGACTGTGTTGTGTGTCCCATTCCACTGTTGAATAATTCTGCATTTGTCTGGTTCACAATCAGATTTTTCTATGTCGATGGCCTTTGCCAATTTATTCCATGTAGTCTATACAACATGCTCATCCATCAGACACCATATTCAATTTTATGTAAATGTTTGGATGTTTTCCACCGCGCCTGTGATATGTTTGGGAACAGTATTTGAGCTGTAAATTATTTGTTGTTAGCTTATTTATTAGACCACGCAATTTCACAGGGATATCCGTTAAATAGAATGTACTATATCTACTCATGAAAAGTTAAAAGAAATCACTCCACTGGCTATTATAATGATTATGTAATGTGACAGTGCAGAGGTACACTGAATTGTCTTCTTTTGATTGACAGATGGTGTCTGTCAAATGTGACCTTTGGTCTTACAGTGCTATTGATTATGTTTTCAAAATGAATAATTTTATCTAAAACCTTTTACTGAACAACTGTGCCAAAGGTTTGGCCAGCTCTGGTCTTTGGAGCCCAAAATACAACAAGATTTCGACATCTCTATAAATCGTCCACAGCTTACAGTTGTGGAGGAGGGAGAAAGTAACTGGCTCAGTGGAGGAGTTCTCTCAAGTGAAGAGCTGTGAGGATAAAATTGAAGGATAAACAGAAGACCTAGTATAGATTCATCACTTTTATCCTGAATTCAAGAATTCTAAGCAGTTATTTGTATAAATAAAAACAGAGCTTAATCAGAGCTGAGTCATTAAATGATTTTGTGGAATCTCCTACAGGTTTATAAATAGGGTATTACATCATATCCTCGTGTGGAAAAGCAATCACTTGTAGGTGTTTCTTGTAAAAAGGCATCAGTACAATTGACACAATAACTGGAAAGAAGTCACTTCCTTTTTTGAAAATATATGATTCCTAATTCATAAAATATCATATTGAAATACTCTGTAGCCTTGGTACAAGCAGTAACTGACTGTGCCATTTGCAGTGGTGCACCACTGCAATTTAGTAGCTTTGAACGTAAAAGGCCCGTTTCCTTCAGATAATGAACCCTTGTGGAATTGCACATACTCTGGGATGTCTGCAAGATCAGCTTTTTTGATAAGATGGAATGCATAATACTGTAAGAATATATTTGACAGTTTCTGTGCCTTATGCTTCATTCTTGTTTTATTGAAAACTTTATTTTCCTCTCTGTCGCTACTCTGTGGACAATGATGATGACCCTGGAATAGCAGAGTTCATCAAGGCTGGAGGGTACAGCCTGGACATTAGTCTACAGCAGGTCCGACAGATACAAACATAGACACACTCACACTAAGGCCAGTTTTCCCACAGTTTAATGTACTAGTGTGACCGTCGCAGTTCTGCCCAGGCTTGTGCCCTCGGCCACACGTTTTGTTCCGCAACACCTGGGGCGCGAACCCAGGTCTCTGGGGTAACGCAACAGGGAACCAGCCATATGAGCTAAAGGAGACCTCCCCTAGTCCAGGCAGCTGAGGTCCCTGCTACGCGCAGGGAGGATGGTGACATCACTGTATCCGAACTGGCTCCGCTATGCTAGTATGTCTCTGGACTGTAGGACAAAACTGGAACTCACACGGACATAGAGAGAACATACAAACTCCGGGCAGAAAACACCCCAGGTCCAGAATTGAATCCAGGGTGCTAACCACAGCACCACCATGCTGCCCTATGATATTTTCATATTTTCCAAAAAAGTAACATGGGTTAGTTAACCCTTATTGCTAATATCTAGAGACAAAAGCCAAAATTTGTAGTTATTATTGTTAATCCTCCCACAAAGGTCTTTACTAATTTTGCGTTCTAAAATACTATTGGTATTATTTTATTAATCATTACAGATGAACCATCAGTTTTCTGTGACCTTCTGTGTTATAATTTAAATACTGAATAACTCAGCTTCAGCCACAGAAATATTCTCTAAAACAACATAACGAAAAAGTTCAATGTCTTTTGGTTGGGCCTTATATATTTACAGTATATACAGATAAAATCTATATGCCAGGTCTTGAGATTTTCTGTGCTTTTCCTTACCCAACTTCCTCTTGAACTGCTCTCGAGTGCCTTGCACAGTTTTGTTGAGCTCGTAATAAAGATCACCAGAAATCTAGATACTTCTGAAAATGTTATAACAGTTGTCAGCAATTAGAACTGGTCTTCTTAGATTGATTAAGGTTTCTGGGGTTTATCATGGCTGAGATTATGAATAGCTTCTGATAGGAGGTGAGCAACTAAGATTATTGCTTTCAGAGATTTGGTACAGTATGTGTACAATGCTCATATTTTAAACTAATATAGTTTGGAAAATGTAACTGCATAGTAGTATACACAATTACGCTTCTGTGATTTCATTTACATTAATAAGAAAATAAGTGTAATTAAATAATAACCTATGAATTCACATAATAAAAAGTAACAGAACATTCTAATAAATATACTGTGTAGCATCAAAAACACTGCCAAACATCTGCAAATATAGTCTTAGCAGTACAGCAATAAATTGCATTCAGTAGTAATAGTGTTCTATATGCTGGTGCTCAGTTATTCCATATTTATGCAGAATATGCATTGCTACATAAATTGATTTCTTCACAAAGGTTAAACAGATTTTAATAATTACCTGATTAAAAATGTATTAGTCCGTAAAGTGTATTTGCATTTCAAGTAATGCGTTTCATTGAGTACTAAGGGAACTTTGATGAGTTTTTTTTCAGAATCCTGAATTATGAATTAGGCTTATTGTGTACGGTTTATGAGCATTGTCTGTGTTGTTCTTGCATTTGTATTTCTCAACAAAATGTGACTTCTTAGGAAAGGTAAAAATGACCTCCTAATGTATCTTGATGTCAATAAAGCTGTTATAAAGCCTTCCCTGGAGTTAGTGAGTTGAAGCTAAGATGTTTGCTTTTATTTAATATGGTCAGCTGCTTAGTGTATTACAGTGTTATTTCTGTTGCAAGCCGTGATTAGATATTGGTGGATTAGATATTGGTACATGCTTCATAATTACTATGTAAATCTCCAGTGTAGAAAAATGAACCTTATTAACCAATCCTAGGTATATCTACAGAACATAATCTGTTCTATGGTGTTGGGAGCCATTTGGAATAGAATGTATGAGGTCAAAAAAAGAATGAGAGGGCAAACCTGTATATTTTTGTTGTAGAATACAATTTCAGAACACAACCGAATCTGCTTAAAATGTCCTTAGCACATACTTTCAGTACTTTCAATATTTATTAACATTTTACGGTACAAACCAACCGATGTGATAAAACAGCAGTGAATAAACAATTACACCAGTACAAAATTTAACAACTGACAAGACAAGTAAATTTAAATATAAATTAACAAAGGTAAATATAGAATTCTGAGAGTGCACAAAAAAAATAGTAACAATCTCTGCTTTTCTTAAAATGGCACACAGTGCCAAGATTATGTGAATCACCCATGCCCCTTCAGTGACCTGGGGCCCTACCAGCTCCATGAGTAAGTCCGATAGTGTTTATTATGTTAGATTTGCTTTCATTGTATATCTTTTGACAATGAAAAAAAAATGTATTCAATGCTGATAAGATACACTGAGAGTATGATGTTTTTTTCTAGTTTCTGTGCTTGAAGAATATCAGGACATTCCTAACAGCATGCTGTGAAATATTTTCTATGAAGAAAAGCGAATTGTTTGAGGCCTTCGACCTGTTTGATGTTCGGGATTTTGCAAAGGTAAGCATACGATTCATTAATATGATTTCCAAAAATGTGATCTTTGCCTAAATGCATTGCAGGGAAATTGCTTGCACTTGCAAAATTGTATATGTTTTATTTTGGCTTGGCAGTTCTGGTTATTTGATTAAATGGTAAAATTATAAAAAGTTATTTACAGTACTGTAGGTGTGGTTGAATATTCTAATAAATATATTTTTTCTTAAACTCACTACTGCATTTTAGTGATACTCTATTTAAGCATTTTTCATAGATATTATCATTAATTTTCTCCTTATTTAAGAAAATCTTTTAATTCCTGAAGAATTATTTTAAGTAATTTTACACCTTTGCGATTGTTTTCTTTTTCTGTTGACCGTTTAGGTCCCTGTCCACACTTTGCTGTAGAAAAACATTTATGACTCTCGTAGCCTGCTGACAGTTTTAATGAAGTCCCATGTGAGCTTTAATTAAAAATGGATGCTAAATATTGCATGACCAGGCTTTTTGCTCTGTGTGTGTCCAGTTTGGTTGATAGTTTATTGTGACACATACTGCCTCAATCAGGAAGTGGGTCAGGCAAATACTAAATGGGGGAAGTTCTTAGGAGGGAATGCATATTGTGCTGAGAGAGCCTGTGTGACTTGTAAATTAAAGCAGTCTGTCTGGCTAAGGACAACAACACTAGCACATGTACCGATCAATGATGTCCTCAGCTGTAGGTTGTAGATTGTCATTGAGCCACAAAAACGACTTCTGTATAGCTCACTTGTCTCCTCTGGCTGTCTGAAGGGAAGCTTATGATTAAACCGTATAGTTGGAAATACTGTTGGCTTTATTGTTTTTGATGTGAGAAATTTAGCTCAGGAATAAACAAAACATACATCACAATCAGATGTATGAAACTTGTGGTTTCATCTCTGCTTTGTTTTCCAATTAGACAATACATACTTTTGGAGGAATTTGAAATATAGGGCAAAATAAATGCTGGTGCAGCTATTCATTAAGTTTTTTTTTTTAATTTTGAATTACTATAGTTTTCAGTGCAGTACTTTTGCTTGCCTAAACAGCCTTTTTGAGTGTTTTTTTTCCGCTATTTTAGAAATGCTGCAGTATTACTTTCTCTCTCTCTCTGCCAGCTGCTGCATTCTGCTTTCCCAAGGTCATCTGTAATCAATAGCATGGTAATCTGTATGGCTCTCACCAGCCCCACTATACCACACTTAGAGATTTTGCTAAATTCTGGGAACCTTCCTTTACATCATGTAATAAGATATGTTAAAATGCTGTGATGGGAGTGCTCTTTACAAAATTCAATCAATCCTGTTGCTTTTCGGATTTTAATGTACAGTCTTATTTGATTATCGTTTGCCACATGTGCTTAAATGCGTTTTTGTACCATGTAGATCATATTAAAAAACAATTCAGCTTTTAGAACACTTTAAGAAAGTTATAAAAATATAATGAACCAAACATTTTCTTATATTGACTTTGAAATGCTTAATATCTTACAGGTTTGTATGTTTAAATGAAAACATGTATTTAGCATTTGATGTTTGATTTGTAATCTTTTAAGTGGAAACCACAATTTGGCAGTTATATTGTTTAAATTGCCTAAAAATACGATTTATAAATAAAGACTTTCGGTTGTCTTTGTATTCCATTTTTTGGGGGGCATAACAATAGAAAATCTGACAACATAAATTGAAACAGATTGTTTAGAGCATTTAGAGTATTATTTTGTAATAATACCTTTGTAGTTGTTTTTTCAAGAACCATAAGTCTTACCGTCTCATTTATTTCTAAGCAGCAAGAGCAATATGAAATCCTGCGTTGAATAATTGTATCGATTCTATTGTATGCATGTAGGCCTCTTGCTAGATGATCAGTTGATGAAATAAATTAAAATTAGCTGATTGGGTCTTAAAAGCAAAACCTTATTGGCTAGCCATCATAATGTTTAAAGTGTACTTTCATTTATATGATATGGGTTTTTTCCATTTTGTCATTCATCATAAAATTGCAATCTTTTTTTAAAAAATGCAATCATTCTGTAGATTTAATGATTTAATACTTTCTTAAGAATCTCTTTTGTGTTTTATATCTGTACTTAACTGTAACATTATATTTATTATTGCTATGGCTGTTTTTCCATCATTAAAAAGGTTTGCTTTGAATTAGCATGACATTAGCAAGGAGACCGAATATCTTGAACTCCCATAATTTTAAAAAGGAAACCTACTGCTTATCATAATTAGAAATGTAATTGTAAAATTTATAAACAAACAGCAGTACGTTTGAAAATTCAAAGAATTATGTAAATATGCAAAAGCTTCTACTATATTTCTTCAATAATACCAGCTTTATGTATAAAAGTGGAAATAGAATTGTTGCTTTCCTGTTGTAAATAAGTAAAATTTAATATGAAGTTTTAGGTTTTAAGGTTTAGCTTTTCCTTTATGCTTCTAAGGGGTGGTTAGAAAGTTTATTTGTACATTTTTAACACAAACTTCAAAGCTGCATGAAGAAGGACAAAGGAATTCCTTTGCAAAGATCAAGCTGACACTTCTAAGCCTTTAGCCTGGTAATTTTTCATCATGACATGACTTCAGTTGTAAGTATTACTTTACATTCAAAACCTTTGCATTGCAGAAAGGTAAAATTACCTCCTCGTTTGAAATCTTTATTTAGTTAAGGTAAAACCCATTTTATCTTGATAGCAGCTAAAAAAAGTCAGTGTATAACAGCAAAATTTAATTGCAGCCAATAACACCAGGTGGGACCTTTGGAAGAAATTTCACGGTGCTGTCATCATTTTTAATTGTTGTCAAATACTCAAGTCAAATACTGATCTAAGAAAAGAAAAGAAGACAGTTATTTTACACTGATGTAGCTGGGAAACGGATATCATACCCACTCCCCATCTATACTTTTCATACGTATATATCAAGCCATTTAAAGGTATGATACTAAAAATCAAACTTAAATAATGCAGGAAATTTCACAATTTCACATCTGGTCTGGCACACACCTGAGCTACGCTTTGGAAACTAGTTACAGAGCCTATAGCATGCTGGTGCGTTCTTTATCGTGCAGCATCGCCGTCAATCAATATGGCTCGTAAACCGAAAACAAGTACGAAGGGGAAAGAAACAAGTGTGAAGGGGAAAGGCATTTCAAGAAAAGTGCCTGATTTATAGTTAAAAAAATTACATTTTGAACAAGTTGCGTGGTTGGAGACCAGTTTGGCACATATGTATTGCAGGCATGAACCTTTGATTAATTACAGACGGAGAGAAGTCTATTCTTGAGAACTATGCATCTGCTATGTTCCCTGTATTTTATTATTAAATACAGGTGTATTCTCTCACACCTGAAGAAGGCTCCACAGCTGAAACATTGTGTTTACTTTCTTCAGACGCTACAGACGCTTTGTGCTCTTGGTGGTGTTCTGACTTTCTTCAGCAGGTAAAATTCAAGCTCAGCTGGATTGAAATTGGAAATTGTCTTGGCCGTTTTAAGTTTTTCTACTTTTCCCCCCGATGAACTCCTTGGTAGCAATATGTTCTGGGTCATTTTCATGCTTCATGGTGAAGCGGCACCCAATAAGTATGGATGCATTTTCTTCTACATCAACAAAATAAATATTTCTATAAACATCAGAATTCATTCCGCTGCTGACATCATTAGTTTTTATCACCATTTCACTAGGAATAACAACATCCAAGAATAAAGTGTACTGAAAGGAGAAGGGGATCACGTATAGTATTTATAGTGTTTTAGGAGAGGAAATGACATCAGGAGTGATTACGAATTATTTAACTCCATTAAAGACAACTGAGCCAGTAACAGAGGTGGCCATGCATGTCCAGGCCACGACATTTCCTTCACTATGCTTCACAAATGAGGTTATTCATGTTATTCATATCTGTAGTTCCCTTCTTTCTCTATGCTTTAACCTTTATATCACTTTGGTATATCTTGGTATCATCTATCCGTAAAACTTTGCTCCAAAACTCTACTGGCTTATCTTTGTACTACTAAGCTAATTCTGAAACAAGGTAATCTGATTCAATAATGTCTTCGCTTATTCACTGTTCGATAGGGGAGGACTGTTGTGTTACAAAATTCAAGAGTATTGACATTCTGGTAGTGCCTCACTAACCATGTTATACAGACAAGTTACTTTTTTGTGTAGACCCCAGCAGAACCTGTGAGATCAGTCAGCTGTGAAGGAGCCACGATGCTTCATACAGAGTTAAATTGGGAAACATCTGTCCGACCAATTAACTTCCATTGTTAAATATAATACAGTTAGTAAAGGGATGATCAATATTTCCTTTCTGGTGTCTGTTGCTGAATTGTGCTTTTCAGAACTCTGGTTTGGTGGATGGATTTGATTCACCCTTTATTGTTAGGATACCTTATAATAAATGACAGATGAAAGATAGTTCAAGGATAAATGCTACCTCTGCATCAGGACAATGGTTGTACTCCAGGAGGATGTTCTTAGGATTTCTTATGGTGTCACATCCGCGGTGGTGCAGAAAATTACAAAAGCAAAACGATAGAGGTTAAAATGATCTCGTGCATCATGTCTTTTTACAGGCAAAAACAGCAATGACTAAGCAGTAAAAAAAAAACAAACAATTGCACTGTTTTCATGCATTTTTTTCAAGCATAAAGTATTTCCCCTTAATTATTTAGCCTTTTTAAATTAATGTCATACTTCATACATTTACAGTTACCCCTTAAAAATGTATTCCCCATACTCTTAGAAGACATCTATTTTTATTTGCATGTTTTCCCAATGGTTTGCATGAAGCTCTACCTTAAATTTCTATATATTGCGGTGATGTTACCATGCTTTACTCATTGTGGTTATCAAAGCATACCAGAGTAACATTTTTTAACAAAGAAGACTTTGCAAAGTAAAACACATGTTAGTGTCACTTTCACACATATGCAAGTGTTTTCCCTTACCTGAAGATAAAGTCTCTTCTCAGGATGTAAGAGAAAAT